TTGGGTAATAAAAACAAACGAATGAAAGCTACTTTTGGCAGGTCCGTGCGCGGCAGAACAAATGCAGCTGGAATGTTTGTTTCACTTTATGTTGAATTTTAAGGCACTATACACTCAGCCGTGTCAATCTACGAAGGTATTAACAGTCCAAAATATTTTACCACAAATGATAGCCGAATAACATGGGCATTCTCCGCTCACAACATAAAATGCAACGAGTCTCATCAATTGAACAAGATATACATTCGTACCCCACGCTGCCGCGTTGGGCGAACAAGATTTTAGAAAGGTTTGAAATAACACAGCATATGCAATGTATAGTGACAATGACAATCACTTCACGACGATCAGGCAGAATCCGGCTTGTTTTGGGGCACGGTTTGAAGACAGCCGCTTTTTTACACAGTATCAGAGCAAATGAACGAACGTCTCTATTCCGTCCCCACGCCGGAGACATAACCGGCAAGGCTTTTCGGGCATTATCTCGGACGGAAATTGCTGCATCTCAGACATCATCTTGTTCGCGCGTGTGCGTCTGGTGTCGGACTAACGACGACGACAACCAACAGACAGTCTCGAGAACAACACGCGAGCAAATCACTGCAATGGAACTGATGGCCTAGCCCAACTAGCTGCCGATGCCCGGTCTGTTGCAAGAGCACATCTCCTGTAAATACTTGTACATAGATTAAAGAGCACTAGTAACGTCTCTAATAATGTCTAGCAATGGCGACGAGTACCGAACCACCCTCTGAAGTCAACGGACGCAACTCCGAGTCTGCGGTGATGACGTACCAAGTACCACAGTTCGACGAGATGAAAGATAAGTGGGCTTCGTATATTATCCGCATTGAGTCCTACTTCGAGGGAAACGGCATCATGGACGATGTAAAGAAGAGAGCGCTTCTCGTTTCGGCACTGGGCTCAAGAGCAATCGACATCTTGAGTGGGCGTTGCGCGCCAAGGAAGGTTAAAGAACTAACCTACTCTCAAGCGATTGAAATTCTCGAGGAATTTTACGCACCGAGACCGAACGAGATAGCTGAAAGCTTCAAATTTTTCACGAGGGTTCAGAAAGAGAAAGAGTCGGCTCAGCAATTCATCGTGGAACTGCGACAAGCAAAGATGCTCACGCACTTCGACCCAGCGAAGCCATTGCGCCTGGAGTGCGACGCATCGCCGTGCGGAATAGGAGCGGTGTTGTCGCATCGCGTTGGAAACATAGACAAGCCAATTGGGTTCCGATCCCGAAGACTGTCAAAGGCCGAAAGAAACTACTCTCAACTCGAGCGTGAAGCATTGGCGTTGGTGTTCGGAGTGTCTAGGTTCCGCGACTATCTGCTTGGTCGATCGTTTATTTTGGTCACAGATCACAAGCCTTTGGTTGGACTGTTTCGTGAGGACCGCCCGACACCAGTCATGGCCGCGGCTCGGATTCAGCGCTGGTCTTTGCTGCTGGGAGCTTACAACTACAGGATAGAGTATAAGCCTGGGCCAGACAACCAAAACGCCGACGCACTCAGTCGACTTCCACTGGAGACTTCCGAGGAAGCAACCGATGAGCTACCTGAGTATGTCCATTCGCTTCAACAGCTCGACAATACTCATCTTTCGTCACAAGTGCTCCGCCAACTGACCTTGAAGGATGAGGTCCTCCGTACGGTGAAGTCCTACATTCTCAGAGGTTGGCCTCGGGAGAGGAAAGTGTCTGATCCACGCATGCGAGCGTATTTTACTAGGAGGCTAGAAATGACCGTAGTCCAAGGTCTTATCTACTGGGACCACCGAGTCATTGTTCCTGAGCCCGCACGAGACCAGATGCTGCAGCTTCTGCACGAGACGCACCAGGGTGCCTCAGCAATGAAGTCTGTCGCACGTACAATCGTGTGGTGGCCTGGACTTGACGGTGAGATCGAACGTCTGGCGAGCAATTGCCACACCTGTGTACAAGCAAGGTCGATGCCGCCGGCGAAAACTCCTTTTAATTGGCCTTTGACTCAGGAGAACTGGTCGCGTGTTCACCTGGATTTCGCTGGTCCAGTAAACGGTGCGATGATCTTGGTTGCGGTGGATTCGCACTCGAAGTGGATAGAGGCAATCGCTATGCAACATGCCACGACCGAGTCCACAATCACGGCATTACGCGAGATTTTTAGCCGGTTTGGCATACCGAGAACCATCGTGAGTGACAATGGCACTCAGTTTACATCCGAAGCGTTTGCCATGTTTTTGTCCAACAACAACGTGAAACACTTGCGCACAGCTCCGTACCACCCACAATCGAACGGCCTCGCGGAGAGAGCCGTACGCACCATCAAGGAGGGTCTCAAGAAACTTCAGACCGGTAGTTTGTCTATGCGCCTCGCAAAGGTGCTATTCAACTACCGTAGGACGCCATTGGAGGATGCAAGATCTCCGTCCCAGCGGCTTTTAGGATACCAAATCCGCTCCCGCCTGGATACCTGCCTTCCGCCTCCTGTCTCTTTTCCTCTCTGCTCAGAGGGAGATACTGCGAGTAAGCTTTGCCCTGGCGACTCCGTCTGGGCACGCAACTTTGGGGAAGGGGAAAAGTGGCTTCCGGGGACAGTTAAAGAAACAACGGGTTCCCGCATGATCACGGTCAAGACGTCAGCAGGAGAGCTGAAACGGCACATGGACCACATTCGTCCAAGAGAGAGCACGGCACCTGCACCACCGGTGAGCAAGACGCCACCGGTGAGCAAGACGCCTGAACCACCCCATCAAGATGCAGCCGCACCAGCGCAGCCTGACGCAGCGGAAGACGAGGCCGTCCCAGCTGTTCGGCGGTCGACAAGACCCAAGAAACCTGTTGACCGATATTCACCTTAAGGAGGGAGGAATGCTGCATCTCAGACATCATCTTGTTCGCGCGTGTGCGTCTGGTGTCGGACTAACGACGACGACAACCAACAGACAGTCTCGAGAACAACACGCGAGCAAATCACTGCAATGAAACTGATGGCCTAGCCCAACTAGCTGCCGATGCCCGGTCTGTTGCAAGAGCACATCTCCTGTAAATACTTGTACATAGATTAAAGAGCACTAGTAACGTCTCTAATAATGTCTAGCAGAAATTTCCTGACCAATTTGACTATGTAGCCAGCGCCAATTTAACGTGCACTTCTAAGGGCCGTTTGCACCAACGTCGCTTACCTTAACCCAAAGCGGCTCTTTCCTAAGTCGGCTTAGCGTACTAAACCGAGCTCGGATAAGCACCGGTTTAAATTCCGGTTGCACCAACGTTAACTCGGCTTTACAGACGCGCCCCTAGCTAAACGCTGAAATTGCCTAGGGAATGTGGGGACAAACAGAGCGAACTAGGGAACGCTCAGAGGGACGAATACGATTGGCAGTGAGGAATCTCGAGATGTAAACAAAAAACTTGCTGTAGTCGGTGCCTGCTTTTTGCTGTATTTCTTCGGTGAGTAAGGAATTAAAGGTCTCCAAATTCATTCATTTTTTCGCTTAACTTTCAAAAACAGGAGTCAGCGCTTTAAATAAACACGAATGCTCTTCACATCTATGATTGTGTATTTAATATCGGTCAATAACAAAATACTTTGACAGTGACAGTACTGTTTTCGTGCTCACATTTTGAAATAAAGGAGCCCTCGGGGGCCATAAGTCTCACCGAACGCGAGAAGGACGCTCTACTCGTTACATCACTGGAGACAAAACATCATCGAGAATAAGTAGGCAGGTAAGATCACCACTAAAATCAAGTCATGCCTGAGACCGATGAAGTTCAAAACAGTGACGAACTTGCCACGGCAGCTGCGAAAATGCCCGGAAATCGTCGAATAGAAGTCGTCGAGTTGTCGTCGCCACGAATGTAAGCTATAAAGCAAAATATGCCTAAAAAAGGCGATCACCAGAAAAGTTACGGTTATGGAACGATACAGTTTTCTGAAGCCAAGATTCTACTCGCGAGACAAGAAAAATTCACCGAAGATTGTCTCGAAACCCAGAAAACAAAAATGAAATTGACTTTTCGCTGTTTTATAATTTAAGAGCGCCGCAATCTGATGCAAATGGCAGAAGTGTCGACAATCAACTGGTCGCCAAGATCATGTACTGCCACTATTCAACGCGCTGATCGGATTAAAGGATATGCATTGCAAGTAGAAATAAACAAGGTGGTAAATAACAATACGTTACAGTTATGCGAAAATGAGTAGAATAAGTACGTATGAATAAGCTCGTTGACAGAATAACCAACGGGAAGACAGACGTGAGCCCCACAGCTCCGTACGTATCTTGGTTAGGGCTAACACGCACTGAAAGTGGAGAGCCAACTTGAAAACAAGGGTCGATAAACACTTCACGCGACAATATTTTGCATCCTTGTCACAATCGATGGCCATTCTGTCGAGACTCTCACGCTGTTGTAGCCTAAAACACTTTGTACAACTAATTTCGTCCACCGCGTCGACCGCCACAAACCAGCCGCCATGTTTTAAATCCAATATTCAGAAACAACCAAAAGCAAAGCGCCCAATGTTCAGCGCTTACGATAAGCGTAGTTTAGAGCTAGGTTTAGCGATAAGCGATTTTGGTGCAACCGAACGAAACCGAAACTTAGCTTAGGTTCCCGGCTCAGCTCCGCTTTGCGCTAAGCGGCGTTGGTGCAACCGGCCCCAAGGAGCTGTGGAATAGATAATGCGTCCTTTCGAGCAAAATAGCTTGTCAGTGAAAAAAACATTCATAATCCCATGAATATTCCGTTTGCGTGACTGCGGAAACAGGCAGTAAAAATATCGGATACATATTTACATCGGCCGAAGATATTAATTTGCAATAATATCTTTGTTTGATTTTTGCGGCTTTTTTTGTGGAAGTGAGGCACATTCCTTCATACATTCCTTACTTTTGTCACCGTCAAAAAAAAAAATTGGAAGTTTTGTTTTTTTGAATTTTTAAGTTCATTACATAAAAAATTGTTTAGTACGCATAAGTTATAGTGTCAATGTTCCCTGCAGGTGTTGCCTACCTTGGGGGTATGTGCAGTATACGTCTGCGAGCTGCCGAAACAGAGGACACACCTCATACATACAGCATGGTCTCCATTTTAGTGCACGAACTCGGGCACTCGTAAGTACTGGCATGACCCGTCTGCTTTACTCTTAATGAAATGATGTACTAGCTTCAAGATAAATGCTAAATTCCGTTCAGTACCTTTCAAAATGTGAAGTATGTCGGTTCTTTTCCATTTTTAACCCTGGAGAGTGAGGAAACAGAGGGACAGTACAACACAGGCCTCCAAACGACGCTAGAAAAATTCAAGTTCCTAACTTGCTCGCCCGAACGCTTGAATTAACTTGGTCATCTACGTTATATCCTTAAAACTTTGATTACTGATGGGCATTTTTCCTCTACAATAACCGGAAATCTTGACATTAAACATTTTTTTTTTATATATCACGAGTGTGTCAGATGAAAATGAAAGAAAGTTCAGTAGGTTATGGACCAACTCAATTCCACTGACGTCACGCCACTGGTACTGCGCATGCGCAGACGCTTCACTCCTCCTGAATTTGGTTTCTGTACACGCGCAGTGCCCACACCTGGTGTGGGCAAGGCGATCTTGTTTTAGAACACTGTGTTGTAGTATGCAGTCGCTGATCACCTAAGCACAATATCGCCTTCGGAGTTCCGATTATTTCGTTATCCGTAGACAAACAATGAGAGTGTAGTATTGCGTGTCCCAGTTGACAGGAAACGCGCCTCAAGCGCCGTTCTTTACGTTCTGATTGACTTGATGATGATGATGATGATGCAGCGTTCCTTTTGTGGCGGGCGGGCTCAAAACAAAAAGAAAAACGTTCCCGAATCAAAATAGTAAAAAAAAAAAGGCCTTAGACTACCATCTTCCACTGTCGAGAATCCTTGTCTACAAGTGTTCCAGTCTCATTTTCGGTGAACGCACAGTCTGCTGACCTTCGTATACTTTACTTGAGCGGCTCTGCTGGTCATGGAAGGGTTCACAATAACCCCGCATGTATTTTTTGCTTATAGCATCAATTATCGTACATCCGAGGGCGTCTGCTAGCGGTCTGTCGGGTTGAAGCAGACGGAGGTTCATTGGGTGTGGCAGCCTGTGCTCACAAAAAAAAAGCAACAGGGGTTTCATTGTCTCTCTTCCCCTCCGCACGCCCGACACACCTTGGACTCCACCGTGTGGTTGAAGTATTTGTGATAGGAGAGGGTACTTTTTTCGACTGACGAGTGCAATCGGGAGGAGGAGAGGGAGGGGAGGGGGGGGGGGGGGGGGGGTGTCGTTTGCGTCTTACACCTGAAAAACAGCCCTTCGTGTCTCCGCCAGTCAAAACACGTTGTCGTCGTATCGTTCTTTCGGTCCTCATTGCTTTTTACGTCCCAGCTCACCGATTCTGGAAACAGAATAAAAAAGAAATACGAAATACGCTAAAGACGTTGACAACATTGGCCGTGCGATTTGGTGCCCTCCGAAAATGATGATAGTAAGAAACGAAACAGGAGAAAAGGTGTACGGATGCACAGCGGCTTACTGAAAAAAGGGTAATTCGAGATTTATTTTTTAACCAAACCAGCACCGGTCTGTTAGTCTGCCTTTATAACCAGAGCTATTATGAACTCTTTGAGCAGGGTGCGAAAACAAGACCTGACTTCGAGAAGAAAGAGAAAGGTGGCGTGAGAAAAGCAGGGGAGGTTGTTCTAGGGGGGATGCTGAACTGGCTATGTCGTTGAGAACATGCATATAGTTTGCCAGTGACTGCCAAGCGAAAAGTAATCTTCAGCAGGGTTGAGTTCTAAAGCTCACGCTAAAGGTTTAATGGTACAACTCAAGCTAAATCAGGATTTTTTTCATTAAGCTTCACTGCCTTATATTTATGTATGCGCGTATTGCACAAAACGTGGACGCGCGTGGTGTCCGCCTTTAGGCTACCGTTTCACGGGCACGCCATTAACAAACCTCGCTTTTTCAACTTTCTTTACAGGCTTGGAATGGTTCATGATGGGGACAAAGCAGTCTATAGCACTGCTAGATACAAACATCATGTATGCAGTGCACGTGATGGCTACACGATGGCACCTGTTGCACACGGCGCTCGGGATGGACAATGGTCTTCGTGTTCCTTGGAACACTTGCGTGGTTTTCTTGAGTACGATTTTTATATTATACTATTTTTAGGCTTCTGCCCTACCTTTCAGCCTCGTCGTACACACGCCCATTGTAATAAACGAACCTTACTTTAAAAAGACTGATCTTTCAAGTACTAGTAATACAGGTTGTTTTTTAGAGCTTAACAGATCTTCTTAAAACAACCCTGAAAGCAACACTTATAAGGTTGGTTCAGGTGAGTTATATGGCGAGGGAGACAATACAGAGGGCAAGTTGTAACGATCAGTCGGCAAATTATCTAAAAATTGGTAACTATATTTTAATTAGTGAATATAAACATATGATTCCAGTTATACAATCGCTGAGCGTCATCAAAAACCACTAACTCAGTACCTTTGCACATACTTCGAGCGCGTGAGAAGCGCAGAAGTGCGGTAAAGTTACCACCCGTGCAGCAGGAGCAAGGGTATACCGGTGCGATAGCGCGCCCGTGTGGTTTTTTTGTTTCTTATCATAGCCCCAGCCTTATACCTGTTGCAGGATCGATACCTTCAGCGCACTACTAGGGTTCCCACGCGCTCAAAGAATTCCAAAAAATTGATTATTTGGTGGTTTTCTATCACCCTCAGTAAGTTCTATTTGGAACTATATGTCTATATTTACTAATTAAAAAGTTAATTAGCTAATTTTACTTATTTAGCTAATTTTACTTATTTAGCTTACTGATTGCTACGATTAGCTCCTATACTATCCCCCCTGGCCGTATAACTCACTTGCATAAATCGCGTAAGTGTAGCTTTCGCAGCTTTCCGTTTTTTTTTTTTTAATTTGTTAAGTCAGGAAAAAAATTGGTATAATGAGTGACAGGGGCGTCAACTCAAATCTAAACTGTTTGTACATTATTTCTTCGCCATTTGAAAATTAAATTGCACAGATTTGTTATCAGGGCTGCAAATATATCCTTTAATAATTTGCTTCTCCAGTTCAAAATTTATATACAAACGTCGCGGTAAAAAATTATCCACGAAAATTGAAAGGATTAGATAAATGTGTAGTTTTTAGAAGGAAGTGCGTAATGTGCTAAACCCTTAACTGAATAGTCTGATGCATTTAAAACATACCCAGATAAATGATTATCGCAAACATGAACAAACTTTCTATAATATATTTGACAGAAAAAAATAAACGCAGAAAAATCGTTTCGGTAGATAGTCACCTAGTTACAGTTTAGATTAACCGTCAAAATATTGCCAAATATATATCGACACGAATAAAAAATTGCAGCACGCAAGAACCACTGTTTTATGTGGCCATACTAAACATATAGGTCCTTGTTTCATTCCAATAAACAAAGATGACGGCAATTCTAAGATTGTTGTTCTCTCAATGATCTGGTGCATTTTGCAGACATCAGCGAAAAACTTCGAAAGCAAACCAAAATAGATAGCAAAATAGATAGCTGATCGTTCTTACAATAAAGAAGCATAAGGCCATGCAGGTGCCTTTGGAACCTCGCGACGACTTCATCTTGGTCAATCAGTAGCGAGCTTCGCTGCATCCTCGCGCACCTGAAGCAGGTGCACTATTCTCTCGGCGGCGAAGATACATGAGCACGCGCAGTACGTCAGTGGCCGGAGCATTTCCTGAATTTTTACTCCCGTCACAGACTAGAGACCTTTCCAAAAAAGAGCTACTGGCCGGTTCCATTTTCAGTATTGGTGCGCATGGCGTGTGACTTGCTCGCTTTCCGAAGAGACGATCCGCACGTTAGGCTGAGGACTTCTAAATATTAGAATGATCTATAGGTAATGTTTATTTCTTTTGGCTTTTTTTTTTTCAGGACTCTAAAACAGGCTTGCTTTGATATGTTATCAGCGAAACATTACCAGATAAATATGACACGATTTCCGGGAGCGGACATTACAAAGCAACAATTGTGTGAGAAAAAGTATTCAGACTTCAAGGGCGTGACCGTTCATCCCGTAAGTTCCCGGTGTTTAAGCGCGCCTTCAATAACCCAAACTACGCAGAAAACTTTCTATTAGGGTTCGGCAACAGCGACAAATATATGATGTGTCCCTGAATGCCATAACACGGTGGACAGGTATTTGTTTCTTGAAGGATTGATTCTACATTATTCGGCGAAACAATACGAGAGTTATGTTGAATCTTAAACACTAGTATTTTATATTGAATGATCTTTGGCAGGGTAGGAGATAACGAACTGCTCATAGACACCTTAACTCTCTTATATGCAATTGGCGGTAAGATTTTTCGATGGCGCAACCTCTGGGATACTTTACTGTTTCACACCGTCTGATTCAAGCAGACTACGGGGAAAGCGGACGCTGAATGGTTATATTAGTTCTGATCTATATCTCTTTAAAAGTGTTCATTTATATCTAAAATGGGGCATGGCATTTGTATCATATTTTTCTTGAATTGAACGATTGTATGTGCACAATTTTTTGAAATATTCACGAGCGAGACTTGACCTTCCGATTCCAACCTGCGCGACTTACGTCACGGAGTCTTTGATTCTTCTTTTGAATCTGTAGAATATCTCGTCTATACTTTCTTTTTAGTCATTACGGTGTGAGACGACGGGCTGCCATCTTAGCTGTTCACGTGCGGGCTGTTGTTCTGCGTGGCGCCGCGGCTAACCCAGCTCGTCCATACCGACGCTTCCATCCATGTGTGATTCGCCAATATAATTTATATTTATTCCTAACTTACATTTATTTTGGAAGGCATTATTGTAGGAGTTATAATATTATCGAAATACACACATGCAAAGGCAAGAAATAGGCATGCATACTAACTGCTCTAAAAAATAAAACAAGGTGCAAGCAAAAAAGAAATATACAGATACATGCACACGGCTGCTGAATGTAAAAGAAAGCGCAAGCAATGAAAGTAAATTTGTGAAATAACAAATAAAATACTGACTTGTCATGTTTCGCTTTCATCTAAGTGTAGCTTCAGCTAACTGTCAAGTTTCGTGAGAGGCTGAAACCACAGTGTCAGGGAGTATATTACACTGGTTTATGTATCGGGGGGAAAAGATTGGATTGTAGAAGAGACGTTCTTCATGTGATTGTACTCCATTTTTTCTTTTTATTTTTTTTTTTTAGTGGTCTAATTTTTGAGAAGTAGGAGTATGGTGTTTTAGGTAAATATCATTTTCAATGGCAACATATTCACGCACCACTTGATTTAGGAACGAGTACCTTGATAATCTGTGCGTAGCTCAAGCGAGTCCCGCAACACGTTTGTTTGTTTGCTTGTTTTTGTTCTTGTAATACCGTGGCACTGATATCAAAGTAATATGAGTTAACAGCAAACCAGCGTGGTCAATTTTGAATCGACTCAAGTTTACAAAAGGGACACTGACACCCTTCAAATTGTTTATTTTTTTATTTTTTTACACGCGATCCACTATAGTGTCAGAAGACTACCCAATCTATATTTTGTTATAGTGTCACGTATATTTTTATTAAAGTAAAAAAAACAAAAAAAAAACGTAGCGGCTTGGAACCGGAACCAAAACTGCACTGGGGAGAAAGAAAACATTTGGAGGCGAAAAATATAAAAAATCAGGTGGTTGGACAACTTTTTTTTTTTTGTTGTTAATCAACATATTTGCTGCTTTTTACAAGCTGAAAAAAATGGGTATAATATTTTTTGTCCCTTTCTAGCATGATAGTATGTGCCTTTAATGACTCACAACTTTGATCATCTTTGGTTGTTTCGTCTAAACCATCGAAAACAGCACGTGACCACGGAGAAGAGAGTAAGCACGACTGAAACCGGCTGTTTCTCGGTCGGCGGTTTTCGGGCGAAAAGAAAACAAATTTCGAGCCGCAAATTGTGTCTTGGGTGGTTCTGCTCTCACAACCACCCAAGTATCATGTACAGACAAAACCCTTGAGGATCATAAACACCCTCGCAGTGTCCCTCTAAAGCTTTAGTGTCAAAATGTCATACTACAGAGGCATATTTATCCGTCCGTCCGTCCGTCCGTCTCTCTGTCTACGCATTTATTTTTTTTTCTTTTGCACCGACATTTTCCGGTGGGCATTACAGTAAAAGGGACGGGAATAATTATACAAAAGCGAACATATAGCGAAGCAAACAACAAAAAATATCAATCATACGGGAGAAACATACCAATATATACTCCAATGATATGAGAAGATTGACACGATCCACAGCAAGTGCAGACCGAACAAAGTAAACCGTCAAAACAGGCTACAATAACATGATTTTATCGAAAATAATTGAACGTTAGGAAGCCCAACCAGTGAGTAGGGCAGCGCGTTACAGTCACTGATTGGTTGCTGGAAAATGAATATAAATTACAGAGAAGATGCAAGCAAGCTGGAGAATTTTCAATATCGGGTTTTACAATGTAAAAAAATGAATATTTTGAAACGTCGGTACGTGTGAAAAACTCTCGGATCTTTTTCTTATCGACAGTTCGAAAAAATACATAATGAGGTGCCAATACGAATCTTGATTTATCTATCCTGACGCTACAGTAACACAGATTATGCATAAACGTGAAACGGGGACACTTTCGTTTTAGTTGTAGAGGTTTCCTACCGAGCTTGAGCTTTATTTAAGAGACACTATCGTGAAAATCATAGATATTCTAAGATAGAACTCACATTAGAAATGAATTAAACTTTATTGACGTCACGAGGTGCCCATTTCAAGTTCCTCTCGATAAAATTAAGTACATGTCCTGTTTTCATCGAAATGCATTAACATGACGCATCCGCGTTGCATTACATAAAATAATCAGTTCCAAATATTTTACATCCTTCGCCAGGGAAGTTTTATTTCCATTTAAATGGAAATTTCTCTGAATGATTAGTCGCTTTCTGCTAAATTTAATGCAATTACACTTCGCGAAATTCAGATTAATTTTCCATTTCATGACCCATGTCAGTCCATGAGCAAGATCACCTTGTAAAGCAAAAATATTGCCTTGGGTATATATCGCTGTATAAGACACATTCATTTGCATAAAAGTTGACTTTGGAGATATAATTCTGTAGCCGATATCGTTAAAGCAGACCAAGAACTGGAATGGACCGAGCACAAATCCCTAAGGAACACCGACCTTACTTAAGCAAAAGAGATTATGAGCCATTAATGACTACTTTTTGGGAGTGACTGACTAGATAGTTAAGTGCCAAACCAAGTGCAAAATCAGGTGAACCTAAAGATGAGTGTTTGTGAAGCAATAGAGTGTGTTTCAGAGTGTTATGTCAGTTAAAGTCAGGAGGCCGGATTAAGCAAACTGTTTAATAAAATATAAGAGGAAGAAAATCAGCAGCCGGGTTTTCAATTCCAAACCATGACCGCGCCCCGGTCATGACAGCGTGCTCACCGAGAGTCCTCTTCTTCTGCAATAGCACATCATGACGCGCCGCCCTTCTTTTTTCTTTTTTTGGAAAGTATTGTTATAGTTTGTGGAAATAACTCAGTGCTCGTGCCGCGGTTAGCAGTCTTTGTATCCTAGTGGCTGCATCACAACAGGTCCACTACTTGTGGTCACTTGACGGTCCTGACGATGCAGGCTCTGAGTCTCTGTAGACCCTGACATACTTTCAGTCGGTTGGTAAGGCGGTTGAAGACTTCTTTTGAGACTGTCGGGCAATCGTCTTCAGAACCTGTACTGGTCTTTAATTCTCCATACGCTTCCTTGATGTGGTGTCGATTGCACCTGTAGGAGCGTCCTTCTTGTCCTTGCACAATGTCGCTCGGGTTCTCGCTCGGGCCCTTCCTTAAAATCAGACCTCTGTTTTATTCTCTTTTTTTTTAAACCACAAATGCTGTTTTGGCACTAGGGGCAAAATAATTTTTGTATTTATGTCTCCTGGTAATTCTGTCTCACTTGTCGTCGTGAGAGTTGCGTTTGAGTTTCTCTGCAGTCCAAGCTGGGAAGCAGGTAACCTGGCGGAGTTGTACCAATGCCCTCAATTCTCTTATGACCAAGAGTTCGGCTGGTGATTTAAGACCATCCATCGACGTGCTGCGGTAATCCAGAAGGACCGTGAATAGGTCCTTTCATCTTATTTCGCCTTTACCAAAGAATGCTTCATTGTCTGCAATGCACGCTTCCGTCAATCTATTTGACCTCGGACTATACGGGCTAGATGGATTATATCGTGCATCCCAGCGACTCAATAATGCTTTGAATTCTGCCGAGTCAAAATGTGGTTCATTAACGTTCACTACTTCGTCTGGTATACAAATCTTGCAAATAATACCTTGTAAGAGAAAATAAGACCCCTGGCAACTGCTCACGCCATTGTTTGAACACCGATGTACTTGCTGTAGTAATCGATCAGGATAAAACATAAGGTACCATCTGGATAAAAAAAAAAACGTGGCAACCTTTTCCCAAGGCTTTTGTGACAGCTGATTAGCTGCGAGCGGGTCACGCTGGTTGTTTCTTTACTGTGATTGGCGCATTTCAGAACGATATACCGTGTTTTCTATATATTTGTTAATAGTTGGTCAATAAAAACTTTCACGTGCACAATTCTTGCACGAGACAATAACCGATTAGCTGCGTGAAGACGCCTAAGCGCATAAGGTTAACACGATACCGGTAGTACAAGATGTACTACCCTGCACACCAACTGATCAGCCAGTAAAATGCGGTATTGACTTGATGTGATTTTTATCTGGATTTCAGGTTTCCATTAGTGATTACTTTGTTCACAATCTGGATTTGATGTTTCCAGAAACAAATCCAGTTAGATTCGGAGTTTCATAATGTAGGACTAGGAAGTGGAAAGTTATACTGGGTTTTTTCGGTAAGGTTGTGGAGGTGGTTTTGTACGTTTCACGTTGACCGGGTTAATCAGCAGCCATTCAGTTAAAATGACTTGAAGAGGATGACACACACTATTCAAGCCAGCTATTTCGGGTAAATATTTGTTAACTTGTTTTCGAAATGAAAAAGGAATGAACGTGCAACCCCTAAAATAACAGAACTCACAATAGACTATGCTCGAAATTGCTTATTTGCAAGTGTTTACCACACACGCGCGAGAGGTTCTTGAGCTTGGACTGCCAATTTTCAACCCGATAAGCTAACCCTTCTCAATTTTCTCTCGAGTGGATAATATTAAAAACACTTTACCACGCTCACAATGGTAGGTGTTGCATGGTGGTAAAGCGCTGAATATTCTATTTTTATTATCCAGCGCTATAGCACTTGTGTAGCGAATAGTTGATCACCATCGCGGCGCCCTGACACTTCAGCATCAGAACTTTGCTTAACGCGAGCACGCGTTCCTCGTCCTCAAGCTATATTAAAATACTATTGCACACATATCACTCCACCAAATAAACACAACTTGTGAAATAGGTTTTGCCGCACTACCCAAACTACGCACGAAGCGACCTCACGTGCAGAGGATTATGCGTCCTCTTCCCGAACTGCCCTACCTGCACGTCACACAAGATGATGACAAAAAGCTGGAGAAGCGCCACTGCAGTTCGCGCACGCCACCAATATCTGGATACTTGCGTGCATTATCTTGACAGAGTTCATACAAACATGTTCTGGACATATACTTCGCTTCAAGTTACGTTCCACTGCAGTCGACACTACAGTCCGATGAATCCAATCAAGCAAGCGATAAAAATTGCACCGTCACGTGACTCGTCATTTTTGTGCGTTTGCTCTCATCAGCTAAAGCAATCATGCGCTCAAGAAACTGCAGACGCAGAATTCAGTGTGCGGTGCGTGATTGGTTCAGCCGGGGCATAGCCTCCTCTATACTCACAAAGCCAACGAAGCCATAGAGTGCCCGGTCGCAGATTTGGATTGCGAGGATCTGGTAGCACAGAGCAACAAAGAGCCATTTCTCGGGGAACCTGGACAGCAGCTCAAAACTTTTGCAGCGGCGAGGACTTCAAACACACTTGTTCGCTCGAGAAAAGTGTCTTTCCGTGTCTCGTCGCAACGGGGCGCCAGTCACGTGGCATCCGTTGTGTTTCGCTCCACCTTTTCTGTTTTGGCGGCCGCTTCGAGTGGCGATCTTCCAGGCTTTGTCACTTTACAGGAGGCTATGGCCGGTGATAGACAGCCCACAAAGACAACAGGAGCCGTGACGGTGCGCTTTTAGAGCTGATTGATTGGCTCCATCTGATTATAGCGTTGGCATGCGGTCAGACTTGATGTGGAACGGTGTAAAGTACAGTGCTAATCACACTTGTCTATAACGCGCGAGCGTGCGGCTTTCTCCGGGGAGCGCTAGACTGGTGGCATTCGCAGAAACCAAGCTAGTCACGTGGCACAGTATGGAAAGGCCCGCTCGAGGGGTGTCCTGCCCACTCTATCAGTTTGATAAGCGATAAAAGTAAAATGCTTTATGATATATTTTGTATTTTGATGACGACATGGTTGATACGCCTTCATGCTTTAGTTTGTTTATTGTTCGAGCAATGATGTTTCTAAAAAGCGTGCGAGCAGCCTTTCGCGTTCGCCGCCAGCTGATAGACTGGGCAGGACACCCCTCGAGCGGGCCGTTCCATGTTGCGCCCCGTGACTAGCTTAGTTTCCGCGAATGCCACCAGTCTAGCGCTCCCCAGAGAAAGCCGCACGCTCGCGCGTTATAGAAAAGTGTGATTAGCACTGTACCTTAACTTTTGTCATTCGGCTAGAATATTACTTCTAATACCAAATATTGATGTTGTCAAACAATCGCTCAGACTTGTTAGTAGACTCAGGCGTGAATTCTTGAAATTCATTCCTTCCTTTTCCGCATTGCGGGTAGCTTAACATTTTCCAGAAACGCGTACAAGCCCTACGAACTGTTTCGACTTCACGAGCAAGCTTGCAGGAAACAACATCAAAGGGAATAGCTCAAACGCAGGCTTGCTGGGTGATTTTTGTCTTTCTATTAAACGAAAACTTTCTTGGAACTCTTCACTTCGGGAACACACCATGCGTGCTTGTCCGTTTTTGTTTTCTTCTTGCTCTGGAGCAAATTGTTGAAGTTCTTTAAGAAATTGAGGAAGTGCCATTGTGTTCTTATGCACTGTTGTGTGCGTTAGAACTGCAGCTTATGGCTTTAGGAGCTTACTAATCAGTTCTGTGGCACGTTAAGCCTATGTAATTCAGAGTGAAGAAACCGTGTTATGTTTACCCGAGAAATAAGGAAGCACTTGGGCTAATTTGAGCTACGCACAGCACGCAAGGGACATAGTCAGATATATAAAGTTTTGAGAGCTGCCAACACTCTGCTCGACTATTTAAGTAGGGGCAATTGAAAGCTTGCCAAGATTATCCTCCCGAAGACAGTCGTTTTCCGCCAGGGAAGCCAGAAGGGACCCATCTTGAAATTGTACCAATGGCCATTTCAGAGACTCACATAGGTGACAATCTCTTCAGAGTGTTTCGCAGGACTTAATAGTTTCTTTTTTTTTTGTAAAGTAAGTGTAATTTGATTGGAGAGCAGTTTTGTTATATTGGTACCAACCTGAGCAGTGCGGCATGCTGAGACCAGGACCTTTATATCTTCATTACCATTAAAATGCCCTACCTTTTTCGACATTTTATAACAAATAATTTTTACGGCGATTTATTTTTACGTTACTCCACGTTGTGCCGCGAGAGATGCTGAATGAAACCACCAGAGCGTAATTCTGTAACGAAGCCACCAAACTAAATGTTAATCATTCTTCTCCACAGGAATCCCTAAATGCCGCGGATTGCAGAATATGGTGCTGTCCTCGTAATTTCAGCCGCCGATGTCTACAAGCTCATCTTACGGATGGAATGGAATGTAAAAAAGGATTTGTAAGGACCATTTTCTAATTTGCATGGTGAACGTTTCCCGTGAAAAGCATTCGATGTATAAACATTTAAGTTCACAACAATTCGCTTGTTGAAATAACTATGGATAAGGATCGGCTGTGGTGAAAGAACAGCGGCTATAGTCCCTTGCAACTCAAGAAGGTAGGGCGAGGGTAAGGCGGGCCGGTGAGGAGGAAGCAGACGGAACGCTAAAGAGAGAAAGAAGGTTCCCCACTCGGTCTCCAGCGTTCCGTCTGCTTCCTTTTCCCCGGCCCGTCTTACCCTCGCGCTACCTTCTATAGTTGCAACGGGCTATATTCACGTAATAAGAAAATAATTGACCCTGTCTTTTTATCATGTCATCAATCGTGCACTTTGAACTTTATTAAAATGTTAGTAACATATCGCAATTTAATGTTTTTTTTTTATTTATAAAAATGCAAACACATTGTGCCGGTTATTTTCTCTATTAAATGAGCATACCTAATTATGTAGCGGAAGGGTACATAGTTTGCGTTGGTATCATTAGCCAATCAATAATATCGTAAATACACCGATTGCACAAACACCCGGAGGTTGAATTGCTAATATAGGTTGTAAGATTACCCTTGCTTGCACCCGCCTCGGAGCACGATGCAACGGACTGGTCCAGCAACACGTAGTCACATATCGACTATTATGGTCTAGTGCCTGACCCAGAAAGGCCAAGTACACACTCTGCGCCAGCCTTTTATGAGCGGTGGAGAGCAGCGCCACTTGGCCTATTTCACTTGGGTAACTCGCGGTGGAAATGACCGGACACGATTTAACATGCTGACAACTTGGTCGAAAGCTGTGTGTCACCAGGTAGCCCAAGAAGTATAATGATCAAGGCTGTTGAATTTTAAGAATCAATAGGACGGGGGGAGGGGGGGATAGATACTAAGTGACTTCCATCAGGGCGCTGGTTCATTTATCAATTGTAATATATGCACCTATAATGTAAGTACCCCATGTACACCAACGCTTCGGACAGATTTTAGATGGTTCGCAATAAACGGTTTGTTAGAGTGTCGCGCTGCAATTTACTACCGTTGTGCGGCTATGTGGTGGAACCTTGGTGTAAAAATATAAAGTGCTCCGTTAAAAAAGAAAAGGTGTGGTTCAGGTAGTCTGCAGCGGCATTCGCAGGCGGTGTCATGGACATGCTCTCCTAGTTGCATGTTCCTAAGACTGATGTCGGAAACGTCGAAAGTGCGCGAGTGCCGTGCTTATCAGATGATCTTATGAAAGTCTTCACTATACCAGCGCACATATGTGTAATGTACAATTTTGAAAGTGCGATAATTTATTCATTTAAGAAAAACCTGAACATGTATGCAGACTATTAAATCCTTCGTGGCTCCTCATTTTTTATACAGAAGTATTCATTCGAGGCGTATAGTTAATATAATAATCTAGACCCTACTAAAAATGTCACTTCAGCCTTGATGTGTAATTGGACCCTCTCAGCCATTCAACGCCCTAGATTCCATCAAGCCCTTGAGCCCATGAAACCCCTTCAGCCCTTCAACCCTTTAGATGTTCAAATTACTGGGAATTATACATAAAAGATACAGCTTCAAGGAACCAATTATTTATTTCACTTCAGAAGCTGATATGAAATAAAGCGTTAGTGGAAGTCTATTTCAGACATTGAGTTTTATATGTATGGTGTAGCTCAAAAAGACGATAAGAATCAATGAGTACTCAAACCTGGGCGCAGGCAACTGTACACAAAAGAGATCAGACCAAATAGGAACAACTGAAATATTGGTCACAAAAAATACATTTCGAGGTACTCACAATGCTCTGGGTAAAGTCTTGAGATGTACGGCAGCTCAGTAAAGCCAAGCAGGTATTCTACGCGCACACATACTCACCCTCCGTAGGACGTTTAGTGACACCACGAACGCGAAATCAACGTCCGCCGCTGTTGAGAAACTCTGAGCACGGTGAAGGTGTCGTCGCTGGTGTCGTCGCGGTGGCGTCTCTGGCTTCTTGTTCACTCGCTGGACGAGTTTCTGAAGCCGGAACGGACGAAGAGGCGCAAGAAACAGAGGACCAAGATATTCTTTCCTTGATCCGCACACTGAGCTGTTCTATAAGATAGGTCCCACGCATGGTACAGGAAGCCAACACTGAGCGTCCGCTCGGTCCTTCCGCCCGATAGAAAATGGCCAACCGGCTTCCCTACGCATGTATCGTGAAGGGTCAAATGACCTCTCCCACAGACCCGTTATAACGTTTTTGATAGGTGTTTTGCTTCTACAGAAAAGGTTGGAAGAGACTCCACGGGCTTCCCATGAACTATGATTGGTCATTACATTCATTAGAAATTTTTAAATTGTACTTCAGGCCCCTTAGAAAACTTCAAAGGACATCTCAAATTCTTAAAACAAAGTTGGAAGATGCGGCAAAACATTTCAGAAATCATGGTGGACGCCATAGACGGTTTATCAATTGGGGAGCGAAACGTCCCATGGGCATTGGAGCCCCATGCGAACGGCGAGGTGTAGACGCGGACATCGGCGGTCCCAGTTGAAGGTTGCGAGGAAGCCCACTGGCGACGCTTTAATATGCAGAGAGAAGAAGGAAAACAACACATGTATGCTCTCTACCCTGTGTGTTTGTCTAGTTTACTTTGTAGGAAAACACCGGAAGCTTGCATTGTGTGAAATGAAATAAAGTTGGCAAGCGTTCGAGCATCTTCAACCCGTCAGGGTAAAACGAACGCTCTTAACTTTTCGTCTGCTTTTATTATTTGCTGTTTTGTCACTTTCTTTCTCGTTATTTCTTTGGGGGCCGCCGATGTCAGCGTCAAGGATTGGCAGCAGTTTCACTCCCATTTCAGCCCCCTCGATTGAGGCGCCGCACACGTAATCTTGATGACCATGATCTTGAAGCTACTCCCTATGGAACAGTCGGTTGCAAAACGATTCGTTCGTACCTAACCAAGTTAAAACAAAACACGTATATTGTAACTTCTCCTGTGGTCTTCGCCACCAATTCTCTCACCTCCTCTTGGTTTTTTCGATCGATTTTCTGCACTGTTCCTTATGCTCCGTTTCCACTGCGACGCGCGTTGCGTCCGCACCTTGAACGTTAGCTACAGTAGTCCTGTACGCACTAGAGGTCTTATGTAGCGTCATTCGTCGACAGCACACGCAACTAGGCGAGCACGATCATGTCATCGTCTGCGAATGCCGTCGTCGCGGAATGTCCGAAACACGTCTTTGTTTTCTTTTTACTTAACAAGGTAATCTTGTCCATTAATAACTCTCTCCCAGGCCGCAACTCTGTAGTATACCGTTAACGAGGTAATCCCGTTAATGACATAATCTCGTCCCTTAACATAAACACCTAGTCGCACCTCTGTAGTCAATGGGACAGCGATACGTTGGGAAACCGGTCTTCGGACCGTCTAAGCTGAGTTCGAAGCGTTAATTTATACGAACGCTCTCGAAGAATTGCATAAATGCAAAATATGGTAACTTCTTAGCTTATTTTGTATTCAATCAACAGGCCATTTTAGTACATAAACATCATAATCGTATGAACTTTAACTCTTCTATGAGTCACTTCAGATCCCTTATTCGGGTATGATCAGGACTAACACAATTTGCTAATTGTTATAAAACGTATAAATTTTTTATTAAAGTCAAAATTCAAACTGGACGTTTTAGTGTTTATATAGCGTAAGGTCGGTCTGCCAGGAGGGGGCGCACTGATTTACACTGCAGATGAGCAATTTTGCCAGTGCAGTACGACCGCTAACCTGGGGTCATTAACGTGCACACGCAGTAGTGATCGCGTTAAAGACCCCAGGATAGCTGACAAACTTTGCTTACAGAATAGCTATATACAAAGGTTTCATTTTGTCTGAACAGATTCTTTTTAAACGAGCAGTGAATGCTTCATTAATGCGAATTCGGCCAGTGAGGTATACTTTCGAGGGAAAGCATTTTAGGGGCTAATCATAATAACCCAAATAACTAATAAAAATTAGCAAATGAACTTTTTATAATTAGGCGAACCAGAGGGCGCCGTCGAACGAGGAGAGGCTTCTCCTCGTCTGACGCCGCCCTCTGGTGTCTGCGATAATTCCGAGGTAATCTGTTATGTACTAAGGGGTATGGAGTCGCCATCTAGCAAATACATAGCAGACCGCGCCACCTTGTGGAGCAGGGCAATTTATGTTTGGGGGCGCTCGCGCTCATTTTATGTTGAGTCAGGCCTTCCATTTTTATTCCGTAAAAGTACCTTTTCCTGTTTAAATAAATAGTTATGTGCTACTGTGGTAATTAAGTCACGGTCAGGATCTAAGATAATTTATCTTTGATACCAATTCTAATAAAGAAATCGGTCACTCATGAATGCAATGTTTAATTTTTTTTTAAAGATGCTTAGAGCCCATAGATTGAGTGATGACCATGAATAAATAAATATACTATCACAAAAAGTTGTTTAGTGCCCTGATAAGTCCAGGCGCAGCCGACGCTGGAGCTGATAGAACCAGTCTGATAGCGTCAACAACTTACCAACATGGCGTTCTTTATGTTTATGTGCGTGTTCTACCATCGCTGAACTAATCATAAACAAAAAAGGTCATTACCTCGAAAAGATCCCGTACGTGCTTATTTTGGCGTGTATCGCTTTGAAAGCCCGTAAACAGCGTTAATACCCTGTCATGGTTCGCGGGAAATGACGGGGTTTTTAGGTCGCTTTTTAAGTGCAGTTGGGGTACAAGCGCAGACTTTCTTTAAAAGATATATGCGGCGAGAGGGGTTAGCAATTGAGAGGGCCGGAAGCGTTTGAGAGCTGCAGTACCGGAGTTGGCCGTGAACTGGGACATTCCCATTGCCTCACTCCTCTTGAAACGGGTTCCTATTTCGCAGTGAACACATGAGCTGTGCGCGAACATACTTGTTTATAAATATGGGCCAGATGCATTACTTTTTTTTTTATTTTGACCACGGTATAACATATAAATACCGGACGTACCAGATAATTTCAAAAAAATAAAAATAAAAAATAAATAGAAAAAAAAACGAACGAAGTGAAACCAACTCTATGTTACAAATCCATGAAAGAAAAAAAAACATAGAAGACGGGGACAAAAACCGAAGTTTTCGTTTCCTCCTCGTCCCATATGTTTGAATCCTTCCGTTTATTTGTATCGAATTCACCAACAAGCTCCTTTTCAATTAATAGTGCAACTGTATGTTATCAAGCGTCTTACAAACTGCAAAAGGTTTTTAATGCGCCTAGTTATTTAACTCAGCAATACTAATTCGATAACTTTTTTAATATTTGTTAATGGGTCGACGTGTGAATCGGAAAATTGTAAAGCTCGTTGATAAACCCCAAAATTAAGGTGTTTTCTATATGATACGCTTTGCGCAATTATTTTAACTAGCCAAGAATTAAAACCCACGAAATATACAAATGCAGTTCGTCGATTTTTTACTGGTTTCATTGAAATGTAGCCTCAGCTGCTGTCTGCCTTAAAGTGAATAAGAGTAGAGCGATGCGGCTCTCTACCATCCAGCTTCGGAAGAGGCGTGGAGACTTCTGTGCATTTCCTTAGGCAACTCGGCGGGCGCCTGTAACAACTGGATATCTTTCTCCCACGCTGCAATATTACTTCACTGATATCAATCATAAGCCCCAAATAGTTCATTATGCTTGTGTGGGGTGTAATAACAGCCTTAATCCAGGCGAACGCAAAGCAAGTTAAAATAAATTCCCTCGAGTTACAATTTAAAAACTGCATGTTTTGATATTGCAGTACTGTGTCAAACACCAATGCGTTGAGAAGGTGACGCACCAGCCATCCAGGCCAGCGCCGCCTGCACGTTATACAACACGGTCAACGACAACAACCACTACACGGAGGAGACTCACCACTCGAAGAAATTGGTGGGCGTTTCGGCCGTACATGGGCCGAGACAGTAGAAACCCCGACTCGAAGAGCACCCATCAGTCAAGGACGGACGCAGTTTTAAGGAAGACGCATCATTCGCTCGTGGAGCGGGCCAGGGCTACACTCCCACATTAATTGGACTGCGCCCAATCTCAGACAGTCACCTTGCTCGAGGACTCACATGGAGATAGTGTAAACCAACTAACTAAACCACGACTGTGAAAATGCAAGAAATAAAGTGATTACAGTAGCCAAGCCAGTCTAGTAACTATGTCTGTTCCTAATTTTACTTGGAGGGTTTTGATCTCCGATAACGATACCCGATAATAATATGATTCGTGTGCAAAGGCGCCCCTTTAACTGGAGTTACCGGAAGGATCTACAGAAACGTTTTACTATACCTCAGCACTATAGCCCGTTTCACTTTACGATGTACCACAACGGTGGCTATGAGCACAAGAGGGCAATGCATAGCAAGGAGCGTGTCTCGTGACTTTCTGAATAGGTGGATCAACACGTTGTGAGAGGTCACGTGACAAACGCAGAGCGCTGGATTGGCGGACATTGCTCGTAATTAACGTCCGTAGCAGCAGACAGTAACGCTAGACGAAGTGTAAAAACGAGGGAAAGATCAATTTTATGCATACGGTTCCTGTTATCATAGTCTAATCAGGTTCATATATACAATAAACCTCTGTCTTATTGGCGAATTAACATTTATGAACTGAAATAATATTTACTTTTTCACTCCATACTATGTACCGCTATGACGAACTACAGGTGCAGTACTGTTAGCTGAGACCAGTCTTCAATATGTTGTTTATTCTTGTTACAACTCTAAAATGTATTTCCCTCGTTGATTCCCCTAAATGACGCCTTTAAGGCTGAAATGATCGAATTAATTAATGAATAAAACAATCCTAGAAAAACGTATTCTCAATTATATAACATCCGTCGCTGTCAAAAGAAACCGGCATCAAAAAATTGCATTTTTGTAGAAGAGTTTTCACATCACAGAAGGGATCCTGAACCAAACAAGCGATATGCGCGCCCATATCCCATAAAATTCACTTTTCGTATTGCCCCTTTCTTACGTGGAATCTTCAGAACATAACAGGCATTATTTCAGTGCTTTTCAGGTTAAACATGGACGTCCACAAAATCATCCCACTGACACTAGCCAAAACGAACTGGCACCTCTTTGAATAAAATCAAGAGAAACAAATTTCGATATTTTCTGTATTATGAATCTTACCAAAAGTGGTCATTCGAGTTTTTTCCCCTACTCGGTTGTTCTTAGGAACATTATGATTTAGATTGTAAGCCTTCCCTACGTACCAATTGTTAGTTATAGGGCCGTCTTCCATGAAAATGTATGTAGTCACTCGAATTGATGCTATGATACTTTCACATAAAACGGCAAGTGTAGTGTACGAAGGTCGGGGAAGGAATATCTATAACGACGTGAGCTGCCGCCTAGTTTCCCGGAGCCCTCCCCCATCTTCGAATTCCCCGACACGTGCGGAAAGTGTCCTTCGGCCCCTCACTCGGGCTGTGTTCCAGACTTTACTCGATCCGACTCCGGAGTAAAGTTTTCGTACCTTGGCGTTTCAAAACTTACTCGCGCTCACTTGATGACGTCAGAACTCGCGTTCCAGAAGCGGGTTGTTTACTCCGGAGTAATTACTCAGGCTACCCTCCTCGATCGGGGGGTAACGCCGGCTCAAATCGAGTAAATGCGTCACGTGATCTGTTCGTCGTCTGCTTCCTGCGCAGACAGCCGTAAATGCTCGTTTGCTCCGTTGGCTTTGGCGGCAGACGTTGGCGGCAGACGCTAGAAATAACGAAGAATGAGGTGCAGCCATTGATGTGTGGTTATCGCGATTTGCTGTTTTCAACGCAGGAATTGATCGCAACACATGCAGACCGTCTACCTTCCCTTAGGAAGGTATACTTGTTGTTATCAGAGTGCGAGCGTAAACAGGATCTTCTCCACATCCTCGTCCTTGGCGTTGGAGGGAACTCTGTATTCTTACGCTAAAAGATTCGTTCGAACGCAGTAGATAATACGAAAGGTTTTTTTTTTTCTCCGCATGTAATGCAGTGAAGCCATCGAAGGTTTTATGCACACGACTAGACAACAACCCCCTACCGCAGCCCCCTCCCTAATAAATGGTCTATAGCGGCTTCGATGTGCACTCTGTGATTTTATAAACATATTCGCGTCAAAGCGAACCTAAGTTACATACGACTATTGAGAAAGCCCCGTGCGCTCTATCACTACACCGTGTGGAAGCGAAATGTTGTGAATTAATAGCCAAATTATAAAAAATGCAACGAACAGCAAACCAAAACAAAACGGTCAAATTTTCACATACAGCCTTTCGAAGTCTTTAAATTATTTCGATTGAAGACGAGTACACCTCTGCTTCAGAAAGGCTGTTCCACTCTTCGATTGTTCTTGGAAACAAAGGTAAATTCAAAAGGGGGGGGGGGGGGGGGGGGGGTGTCACCACGGCAAAGAAAATGACCGCATCTCCACGTGGTGAATGATGTTGATTGGGGCGAAGCTCTGGTGGTGCTGATGACACTGATTTTGTTCGTAGGTAGTGCTGATGGTGCTGATCTTTTTTTTCAATCCTCTCCGGAGCAGCTTGCTGTCTGCGTAGACTCTGAGCCGCAGCATGTCGAGCTTTTCGATCGTTTTCATCCATGTCAGAAAGAGAATATCTTGTATAGAACGTGGTTATATACGCGTTTGAGCATTTGACCGCAGCGCCCTCTCGTCTATAAACGTTGATCCAATGCATGCAAAGCTTATCGCGATTATATGCGCATTTGACCGCAGCGCCCTCTCTTGTATAGACGTTGAGCGGCTCCATGCAACGTTTCATCCATCACAGAAACCCAAGCTCTTGAGTTACTACCACATCTCAGAACCCCCTACTCGTCCCGCAGTCGTGGCCGAGTGGTTAAGGCGATGGACTAGAAATCCATTGGGGTCTCGCCGCAACAGGTTCGAATCCTGTTGACTGCGCAAACATTTCTTTTTCTTTTTTTAAGAAGACAGACGGGAGGGCAATCGATGTGAGCAGGGACGCCGAACAAGGCTATACCCTAAGGAGCTTCGCCCCTTATACGGAACCATTGCCCTCTAGACCCGTGTCGAAGGACTGGCCTCTGTTGGCAGCTGGGGAATCCCTGCACAATGGCGGACTAAACCGCAACATTACGAGAACTTGTATGCGTTTGAATTAATTAGAAGGCAAAAACACACCCAAAAAAAAATGGTGATGAGTGCAGTGACGTTGCACTTTCGACGCTGCTTGATTGGCTCGTCGGCTCCCAGGGTTGAGCGCGCTCCGACTTTCGTTATTTCATGGAATGTCGGGCACGCTTCACGGTGTCAGTTGTTTCGCCATTGTGCAATGATTCCGACCTTCTAATAATCAGTACGTGACTTTTGAAAACGGTTTGTTCCCTAATGAAAAATCCGGCAAAACCTTCAAGTGACATCCGGTGAACTTCCAGTGACACCCGGTGGAAACTCGTCAAGTTTCACCCATTTTGATCCTTAACCAGCGTAGTTTACCAGTGTTTGCTGGAATATTGCCGGCAGCTGCCCTCAGTTCCAAGATTTCGCTGGAATTTCACCGGCAGCCACTTTCGTCGACTCGGCTTTGCTGGAAGTTTTACCGCAAACGAGTGACTCGTTTCCCCGTTTTCCGAACTTCACTGGAAGCCGACGCGAGGATAGGGGCAGCCGAGGCGAGCCGGTGACTGTATCTGTAATTATAGTTCCTTGAATGAAGCAAGGACGAGTCCCCACGCACCTTCTTTCCCTCGCACTGGGTTCGTGGGGAAAATGTGAGAGGGTCCTTTTGCTGTCTCTTTTGGAGAAAACCGGTTCCTTTGTCCGTCAGCGAGCAACGGCAACGAACGGACGGTCAGTGCCGGCTTCCCGTTCCATGTTTGCGACCGGTATCTTCCAGAGCAGCTGCGTGAGCGGATAGAGAGAAAATATCTTGCAGTGACCTGTTTCTTACGCCTCTTTGTACCTCCGGCTTCAGAAGCATCCAGCGAGCGAAAAAGGCGTAGGAGACGCCTCTGTGACGGCATCTGGGACGACACCGCAAGGCCTCATTCACACAGCCGTTTTTTTTCTCCCGGCCCGGCGAAAACGCCGGCCGTCTTTTGCGCCGGGGGAGAGGGTGTTGGGACCGGTTTCCGGCCGAAATCAGGGCGCCGGACCCGAAAAAGGCCCTAGGAGGATGTTCAACGTCCCCGGCACCGGCGAGAGACCGGGAACGCCGGCGCCCCGCCGCATCGAGGGACGGCCAATCACAAAATAGGAAACTTTCACTGAATCTGGCGGATTCGCGAAAGTTGGGTGACCATGGGCACGGCCACGGGAGGGAGAGTTGACCGTACTGTGCCACTGTGCCCTCACGCCCTAACCGCCCTAACAACGAAGCGACGAAGCCAACAAAGCTCTTTTCGGGAAGGATGGAGGCCAGCGAGACGACGGCCGCATTGTGCGATGTTTACGGCTCTTGAACAACGGGCATACAGAGATTTGGATTTACCGCTGAGCTGCTGCTCGAAATGGTGAGACCACATCAGTTCCTTTGCGATAGACGTAAATGCGATTTTAAGGAAGAACAGCCGAAGAAACAAAATACGGTCGTCGATCATCGGGGACGAAATGCGGCGCAAGGAATGATTGATGTGAAACGTGCTCGCGTTGGGTCTTGTCGTTTTTGTTTCGAAACGTGGAGACAAATAAAATGTTTTGAAACATGCAAGATCGTTATCGGCGACCCAAACGCAAGCTCTGAGGAACAAAACAGTTGTGGCTGCGCCCGTCGACGCCGATCGTCCGCTACCTTTGGTGGTCCACGCCGCCACAAAGCAGCCACAAATACGGGATTACAAGATTGGTAATAGAGATCGAGGGAAGTGTGTAATTGCGCACGAAATAATAGGTTATATCGGTAATACAGTTTTACGGGATACAAACGTTCGAAGCGGAATTTGAAAGGTGCACGAAGATTTCTAAGCTAGGTGACGCAAGCTAGGTGACGCCCGATTCGAACCAGCGGCGCCGTGGGCGCCGCTGGTTCGAACACTCCTCCGTCCCCGCACCGTCCCGTT